TGATAGTTTCTTAAAGCTAAACAACCTGGAGTTTGGAGTAGGCAGCATATTTGGAGCTAGAAAAGATACAAAAAGTGTGGAGGGCAGAGGCAGAAATTACAGAGATGCAAGTCCTCAGTGGGAGACAGATCAGAAACATCTGTAGGAGCAACATTTGTTTCTTCACACTTCAACTGCTATTATAATACAAAGTAGCAGCTGTTAAGTCATGAGCATTTGAAAATAGACGTGTACCACTTCAAGACCTTAGATTAAAATATTCAAAATTATAAACCCTTGTGGGGTGGGGGGTTACCTCCTTTGTTCATGATGGATGCACTAAATATATGAAACGCAGATACTACACTCCGGAATTGCTTCTGATGACACTGAAATACAGGATTGACAAATATTTTTCATCTTCCTTTATTCCCTTTAGTTACTTCTGATAGCACCAAACTATCAGGTTACACCTTGATCTGATTTAAAGGCATTTATGAAGCAACATCTTACTGTACTTATCATAAAAAACCAAAAACATTTAAAACCTTACAGAAAATTTTCATTAAAAAATTTCAAGTGTCAAATTTGTTAGGTATAATTTTGATAGGATCATGCTTGGATATACTGAGTCAATTAACTGGGCATTTTCCCCTCACAGTCCTACAGCAATATTAGTCATTCCTCAATATACAAAACAAGAAAAATTGAATAAACTTTTGCATAGGTTCACAAATTTGAATGAACTTTGTTTTAGAATAGTAACTGGCACCAAGTGCGATTTGGGAGTGGAGATCAAGGTCTTGTATGGCCTTTACTGTGTAAGCTTGGTTGACAACTGTCATCTGAAGAGGGTTGGAACATTTTCATTTTTACTCCAAAACTCAGACTTCTATTCATCCCCTAAAACTGCACAGAAACCATGTTTATGAATACTTTTGGGGGAAGCTACCTGGCATTTTGTATTTTCAGAGGCATCCTTGAACCAAAATTAAACATGCTTTTAAGTGATCACCTCTAAAATGCCCCAAATTTCAATACAGGTATCCCCCTGCTTTTCAAAAGTTCACTTTATGCCACTTTGCTTTTCTGAAATACATGAATATCTACTTTTGTTAAGTGAAAAAAACACACACAAAAAAACCCCCAGAGGACTTTCGCTTTTGATAAAGTGTGAAATCAGTATCCAGTGTTTTTGTTTTGCAGGAAGCCTTTAAAGAGGCAGCACACACCCAGAGTAGCATCACCAACCTCCTTTCCTGGGAGCAACACTTGTATGTATATATACAGTGGACCTTTAAATAGTTCATGGAAAATTTTGGTGATCTTTTAATCCCATTATTCCATGAACTTTTTGAAGTCTCTTCATACATTATTCTACTTTAGATGGGCTGTGTATTTATCATTATCATTCTTTTTACTATATGTTAGTGTTATTTTAGATTGTGTGTGTTACTTGGTATGATTTGGTAGATCTGGGAATATTTTGGGACTGGGAATGCTAAAAAACTTTTTACCTATGTAGATCAATGGTAATTACTTCTTCACTTTATGCCATTTTGGCTTACAATAGGTTTCACAGAAACACGATACTTTCAGATAGTGGAGGAAAGCTGTATTATTATTCACTTATGGTAGGCAGAACTCTTAACAAATGGCTCCCAAGATTTCATGATGTTTACACTTGAATTCCCTTATGTGTGGGCAAGATCTGTGAAGATGGACATCATTCCCATGATTAAATTTCAAGTTTAGGGCTTTCTTCTTATCTGAGATTCTACTGCAGGTTTTGAAGCAAGCTGCCATGAATGCTTCAAGAATTCTCCCACATGAGAATAGAAAGGGACCTCAAGCCCAAGATTAAACTGTAGTTCTGACTACACCTTGATAGCAGCCTTATGTGCCACGGAGCAAAGTCTGTACCCAGACTCTGACGCACAGTAACTGTGAAATAATCTAACTAAAGTTTGTAGCAATTTGTTACACAGCAATCAAAAAGAAGTACATACCCTCCTTTTTAGTCTTTAACTTTCTTTAGAGAACTGAGGCAATGAAGAATCCAGAAAGGGTGCCACATAAATTAATGTTACAAAACACCTCAACCTATGAATTTCAGTCATTGAAGTAACTCCAAATTAAACAATACAAAATTTCAGATGATTTTTAATGATTAAAGGAATGCTCTGTGTTTGGTCTAGAGCAATGTGGAAAATACTACTTCCACCATGACACACAATTACTGGAATTCTTGAAAATTACAAATATAATTTTTAAAGATATATTTTAGACTAGGGTTATTCACTTCATATACTTCAAATATAGCACTCTTCTTTGATAAACTTGAAAATGGTTTAATGCTCCAAAGCATCAGTTTAATAAAGACATGAAAGTCAAGAATCTTTAGATTTGGTTTTCAGATGTATTAAATTTTTTCCCTTAGTTCTATGTTACAAATGAATCTCTTTCCTAGATCACTGGAAAACAGTGCTTGAGTCAGTTAACTGTGAGTGACTGAAATGAAATTCACATATAGTAAAGCCCTTCCTATAGCATTCTATTAGAAAACCAAAGTCCTATATGGCCCAGGTAAAAAGATTTAGATCATTTAGTAGTCCTTGAACCAGAGACGTAAAATATTGCCATAACTATTATGGATACAAGGACACCTAATCTAGTAAATAATATGGCCTATTATAAACTCACTGGCTTATTTTCAACCAGATTTTTATTTTAAAAAAACAACAAAACAAAAACCAAACCAAACCAAAAACAACCCCAAAACATGAATTACACAGAGTATTGTTAAGTTCACCTTCTGGAAACTTAGCCTTCTGTAAAAACTATTATTTGTAATGCAATCATTTGGAGACATGTTGAAGTAATACTTGTTTCTCTCAGTCCATTTTGCTGGAAGAAGAAGGAAAGTGAAACCTTGGTTTGGACAGGGAGAAAGCAGAAACATAGATGGTGTCAAGTGAACAAATTCTGTGGGTTAGAATATTATGTCCATGTTGAAATTACAGAATTTATAAAATTTCTTCTGTTAAGCTGGTTTTAGGTCAAAAGTTTAAGAAAGATAAGACGCTAACATAAGTCACTGAGTTATACTCTAAAACTTTACATTAATATAAAAAACCCACACACCACACATACACACCCCATGTAAAACATTGCTTTAAGTTTTAATGTTTATTTCCCCAAGACAGCCTAGCCTGCACTCTACTTGGATAAATTTTACAAGCTAGTTTTCTGCTGCTTCTAGTTTTAAACTTTAACCATGTTTCTGATGACAAGGAATGCTGCAAAAATACTCTAGTTCAACAAAGAGTTATGATCACAAAATAATTTTTATCCATTCTACAGTGTTTCAGAATTACCAGTTGATTTTTAAACACAAAGTAGATATAGATGCTAATGGTGGCTAATCTGGTATGTTTCTTATAGCAAACTGTTGTTCATGCAACACTTGTGCTCAAAGGGGAAGGCACAGGATTTCCTACAATGAGCCACCTTATAAAGAGTTCTTTTTGTACAAATTAATTTATGTCACATTAATTTAGTGTGCATAACCTCAAAACTGAGGCATTATTCCAATTTATAAAAACCACTTGCATAACTTTTATGCAAGTTTTAAAAATACAAAGTTTTCTCCCTAAAGTGGCTCAAAATAGATTGTTCATGGCTGCCTACATCTAAGATAAAAAGATTCTAAAACAATTGAACAGATTAGGCATATTATTAAAGGTGGCCAAACCATTACTTGATTTGTACATCTACTCAAACCTCTTCATCGGTCTTTATTCAGCAGTACATATGCACCAAATTCCATTTTAGAAGTTTCCATATCATTTTCATAGAAAACAAAGTTTGAAAACAAGTAACATTTAAACACAGCACGGTATTCTACCACAACTGAAACTTTTTTCTTCTTCTTTACAGGACTCAACAAAATCTAAAAATGGACTATGCTGTAGATTTATCTCATGCAAAGATCTTGTTATCTCTGAAAATGAAAAGGATGGCTTTTAAAGTACATTTTACTTGTTTATACTATTATGGCAACTTGTGTACTGCAACAGCCTATTCTGAGGAAAATTTATGATTTTTTTCCATGCAAAAATCTACACAAATTTGTTTTGATGATATGGAAAGCTTTTCATAGCATCAAACATTCATCTGGTGCAAATGCACAGGGAAACCTTCTTGAAAAGTTTTCTGACTTGAGAAGCAAAACTAAAAAGCCATATAGGTAAAGTAAATAAAAGGCTTCAATAAAAAGAAAAGGGGGTGGGTGGGTGGGTGTGTGGGTATGGATAGGATGGGAGCAGGGGTGGAAAAAAGGAAGAGGAGGGATAGAAAACACAGGCTGCAGAGTAAACCGATGTCTGCTGCTAAACCGGTCTTTGTTTTTATGTCCAGTGTACATTAACACTTATGATCTCACTTTGATGATTTACTAGGTTTATCAGCCCCCTGAAGGCAAATCAAGCTTGCATGCGTTCACATACAGCACCACAACCACACTCTCGTACACAGTCACTCCAGGTCTAGGAGACTGCTTCAGGAGTGAAGAGCCCTAGATTTGAAAGATGAACCTGGCTCTCTATCACCGAGCCAGACATTCATTCAACAGTGTCCATTCACACATTGCTTCAGAGCAAGGCCTGGGCTCATTTTCCTTTGACTTATACGGGCATCCTATTCTCTTTTATGCTTACAAGGCTTAAAGATGACAGTACTGCACTTTCCCCTCAATTGATATAGAGTAAGTCAATGTTCCTTCTCAGGCACTGAAGATCTGTGACCTGTAGCCCTTTTTACCTTTAACAACCTAAATAAGCATTCATGTAAAGTTTTCATTACATTTTGCCACTCATTCTCACTCGCACCCACTCGCCATCTTGATCTCATTTGGGCATTTTCTGTGATTCCAAATGAAATCTTCACATTTTCTTTCCCGATTTAATGCAGCAGCAGATCCCATGAGCCAAGCTTGATGGATCAAACTTTTTATATATATGTATATATATATATCTCAGTGCTGCATGGACCTAACTTCCACAACATCTTTCTAAAACTGGAACCCTTCCGTTGGTACATTGGCAGATGAATTGAAACCGAATGTTCCACCTTGTATTGCCTCTGGAACAAGGCTAGGATCTTCATCAATCTAGAGGAAAAAAAGAAAAAAGACAATTAATTTAAAAGCAAACACCATAAATAGAATAAATGGGAATTTTAAGTAATATTTCTATTATAACAAATGCTCTACTCTGCCTTTAGAAAGCTAAACATTTTAATAATTAAATTGGAGCTAGCCCTCATTCTTAAACAAGAGGGTACCCACTTCAGTTTTTCTTATACCTGGAAAGTAGATATAGTCAATGACATTAAAATAATAGTTTTGCAACTAATGAACAATAATGTTCTATACATTTTGTATCTAAGGTCCTTTGTTAAAATACCACAAATATACAAATAGTTCTATAACCATTTATACCAATCAAATTATTCTTTTTACAATGTAAGAGTAACTAACACAGCACTTACATGTTGAGTTATTAGAAATTCTAAGGCCTTATATATACCTATTTATAAATTAGAACCTCCAGAAATTCAAGTGGAGAAACACTGTTAGTATTCTCCTTAAAAGATTATTTATTTTCCTATAATTTATTTTATTTCTGATTTCATGGGCATTATATTTTAAAGAGAACTTAAGTCTACAATTTTCTTTCCTAGTATTGTCCCTGTCAGGCAAATGTTCAATGTATACAATGTACAGTAACAAAAGATTTAACAACATACCACTCTTTTGTGGACAAGTTTGTTATGTAAGACATATCTTTGAAAAACTGAGAAAATAATTTAAGAAACCCACTGGTGGCTATGGTAGTGTAGTGGTTACGAATCGGGCTACGAACCGCAAGACCAGCAGTCTGAAACTACCAGCTGTTTCGCGGGATAAAGATGAGGCTTTCTGCTCCCATAAAGATTTACAGCCTCAGAAACCCTGTACAGGGTCGCAATGAGTTGGAACTGACTCACGGCATATAACCACCACTGGTGGCTATACTTAGTTAATTATGTAATAAAAAAAATAACATCCTTTAACTTTAGGTTTACTTTTCTAAAGAGGCAACAGTAAAGATAAACAACAAAGTTTACCATTTTAATAATGCTTTATCTTTTTATGATGCTTTATTGCTCTCATTTTGTCTTTTTTTTTTACTTTTACATTTGTTTTGGGTCACCAAACAAAAGTAACAGTGACACAATAGTCAAATGCAGTTGAACTAATTTCAGAGGATTTGTTATAGGATATACTGGTATCACTATACTATATAAAAATACACTACGCTACTTAACAAAAAAAATATTAAAGTGATAAAATATCTAAAACGATAGAGAGATCATGCCTGAGTCATTATATATATATATATAAATATCCTTATCTTTTGACAATTAGAGCTAGTGCTACTGTGTAATGCCCTGAAAGAATTTTTAAAATATTGAAATATTTATCTCTATTTCTGAAGCAAGTGTCTTAGAGCAATTGTAATTTAAAAAAACTGCAGTATATACATAAATGTGAAAAACAAGGTCGATGGTTTGAGCGCACCAACTGATTCACGAGATAAAGATGCGGCTTTCACTCCCCTGAGGATTTAAAAGCCTCCGAAACCCTATAGAGGGTTGGCATAAGTGTGAATCAACTTGACAGCACTTAACATACATGAATAGCTTACTATATGATTTCACCCAGACTGTTTTATAAATAAAACTAAGAACACTACAAAATTATTAAATACATCATCTGAAGAGAAGAACTGATCAATGATCTCATAGGCCAATTTGTAGATGTCTTCATTTTCATGATTTTGAAGTTGTTCAATTTTCTCCAGTCCTGTAAGAAATTTTATAAGTGAAACGACAGTAGTATTTGATAAAAATGTTACAATAATCTTGCTAAAACATAATCAATCTAATTTGAGAATTACTCCAAAGGTGAATTTTGAATATAAAATCACTTTGTGTACCAAGACACACCTTACTTTCTAAAAAGAAAAAAAAAATAATCTTAGTATCCAACTGCACGTAAATATTTAAGTGGGCAATGGGGCATGCATGTATTCTACAGAATACTATGTAACCCATGCTTATAAATGATGTGACCCCTGATGACACAGTGGTTAAGTACTCAGCTGTCAACCGAAAAAAAAAATCAGTATTTCATACTCTTGGTGTGGTGCTGTAGGATCAGCACTGGACTGTGAACCACAAGGTCAGCAGTTCAAACCCACCAACTGCTCCTTGGAAACCCAATACAGAGTCACTATGAGTTGCAACCAACAATAGCAGCAGCAGCAACTCCATGGAAAGAAGATGTGGCAGTTTGCATCTGTAAATAGACTGACAGCTTTGCAAACCCTATGGGGCAGCAATTACTTTTGTTAATAATAAAAAGTAGGTTATAATAGCATCCCTATATGCTGGAGAATTACAACCATTCAGCACAAAAAGACCAGCAAGACACCAAGACAGTGATTTGCATTACAAGACTACTAATTACTACGTAATTTCTCCTTGTATTTCTCCTACTTTCTATCATCTGCCAAGTTTTTCTAGTGAGAATGTATGTTGCTGTTAAGTGCTGTCAAGTCAGTTTGGACTCATAACGACCCTGTATAGGGTTGGTAAAGTAGCACTGGTGAATTTGAGCCACTAACCTCCTGGTTCAAATTGACTTTATGGTACAGTGCTTTATTCTATAGTGCCACACCAGGACTCCAGTGAGCATGTATGGAAGGGAGAGGAACACAATAAAAACTACAGATGATTAAATATGATGCTTAAAACATTTGTTATGTTACACAGGATAATGATCAAGATATCAAACATATTTAAGGAGAAAACAGAATTTTCCCTATAAACATTAATTCATTTATTAAATCAAAGGCAAGAACATTCATGCATATCCAATTTTGTTTTAACGCTATTATATAGGAGTAATAATTCATTTTAAAGGCCACAGAAATAAGATAAAATTGCCTCTTCCTGAGTTTCCCTCCTCTATCCAAGCCATAAATGTTAAGAAATTGTCTTGGGCTCATTTCTTGCTCTATACTCTGTTCTCTTGGTAAACCTTCTATTAAAATTTTTAGTTATCAATGTGAGTACAAACTGAACACTCAAGCACCTATAACTTTTCTGAGATTCAGATGCATAATATTCAATTGCCTATAAGATAATCCAACTAGGACATTTCGCATGTACACAAAAACTTTAATAGTTCATTTCATTTGAGTTTCCTCACTTAAACTATTTTTTTCTCCTGTACTTATCGCTCCTTAGAATCCATATACAGGTTCTCTATGAGTCGGACCATATCTTCGGTACTTAACAAGGATGCTCTTCATCCTTAATTTTATAAAAATCAGTAACTGCTTGAAATCTCATTGAAAGTTCCTTTTCCCCTAATACTCCAGAATCAGATCTCAAAAATGTCAGTGTATCCATTTCTTAAATCTTGTTATCTCCTTTTCATCTCTATTATGACTTTCTTCATTTAGTGTGGCCTGACCACTATATACTTCCCTAAGAGGAACATCTATCTCTTGTCTCCAATGATCCCAATTCCCCTGATAAATCCCTTAGGAAAAGTCCTTCAGTGGACCGTTTTACCCTATAGCAGAATCCACTGGAAGAGTGTATATAATACAGATTCCAAGGACCCACCTCCAGTGAGGCAGGCAACGCTTAAGAATGAATCATTCTGATTTCAACATAGACATTTTAATAATTAAGGTATGTTTATATAATTAAAAACAAAATAAGCAATGATAATTTTTAATTATGCTTGTTTTAAAGTTTTCTAGTACTTACCATCTCCTGATCCTAACATGGTATTCTTCTTTGTTCTTCTATTCATCACTTTAGTAGTTTTAAACATAATTTTTTAATTGCATTAATTTTTATGTCTCTTGACTCCCTCACAAATTAAGTGAAGAGTCCTGGTGTGGTGCTGTAGGTTAATGCGCCAGAATGCAAAGCCATTTGAACTGCAAGGTTGGCGGTTCAAGCTCACCAGCTGCTTCTAGGAAACACTATACAGGGTCGCTATGGGTTGGAACCGACTCAACAGCACTTAACAACATCACTTCTCCAACTCCTGAAGCTTTCTTGCATTCCTTTTTCAACTTGTAAAAAATACTTTTAATGTTCATCAAGGTTGATAAAATTTACATTCTGTTCCACAGCCACAATGGACTATTACTACTAATGTTCTGTCCCTATGTTAATTTTGATTTGTAGCTAATAGTTTTATATTCCAGATGGCTCTGATACATAGTCAGATTTGGCAACTACTGCCTTATAGAACAAAGTATCTGCTGTGCAACAAGTCTTCTAAGACTTTGTTGGAGTCTGGTTACTATCTATTTCTCTAGCCTTATTTCTATCTCACATTTTGTGATTCAGCAACACTGAACTACTTAATAATTTGCTGAATGCTATTTGTCACCTCAGACTTTGCTCATGGTGTTACTTTTACCTGGGACACCTTTCATTCCCTTTTACATTATTTATTCTTATTCATCTCTCAAAATCCAACTCAAGTACTACTTTTTGCTTCTTTCAGGATATATTAGGTATCCCATTTTGCTGTACATTTCTATTAGGACAATTAATACATTGAATCAGATCATGCTTATCCCCACACACCTAGAGGGGAAGGACTGTGCCTTGTTTATCACTCTATCTCTCCAGTACCCTAGCACAGTGCTGTTTTATGTTGTTATTGTTGTTAGTGCCATCGAGTCATGTCTGACCTATAGTGCCCCTGTATAGGGTTTCTGAGGAGCAGCTATTGAATTTGAACTGCTGATCTTGTGGTTCAAACTGACTTTGTAGTGCATTAACCCACAGAAGCACACACAGCAGCAATTCAGTTACCTAAGCATATGTAAACACTGAACAGGAGTGTACATACACAATCTCTGTATGCTGATTATATAAGAATAATACAGAAATGCTACAGTAGTCAGGAAAAAAGGTAGTTACATAAGCTTATAACAAACATACCTCCACATTCTTCTATAAGATTGGCTATGGTTTCTGCCTCATCTTCAGCCATTTTTAATATATTACTAAGTCCATCAAGTACTACTTGCACAACTTGTGCATCTTTTACAGTTAGCAAGTTGCAGAAAGGTGGGATTACATTTTGTTGGATAAGGTAAGCCACCTGAAGAATAAAAACAGCATAAAATACATATTAGTGAACTTTTCTGTGTACCATCTATTATCCCACTGAAGTTAATTTTTATTTTGAAATTTGAGAATGGAAACATGACCTCATCTCTTCCAGCTATTAAGTTACATATTAATTTAATCTTTTCCTTTTTAATGTAGCTAAGCTTACTTTCCTTGAATTTAGAAAGTGAAAGGAAAACAAAAATGAAAGAATCACTGAACATCATATTCAACATTTCTTTGCCATAGGAATACTTCCTTTAAAGATGCTTTCCCTTCTAAGATTAAGAGATGGTGAAACCAGTTAAAAAACATTATTTTAAAAAATTGTAATTGTTTATGGTTCTTTGCTGTAACAAATGATTAGAACTGTCATGAGATTTACCTTTTGACTATTTGTTTTCTTAATATTTTTCTATCATTTTAGTAGTGTTATAAAGTTAATTTCCATGAATTATATTTATCTTCTGCTTTATGTTCATATTTAAATGAAGTCACCCCTTATTACCAGTCTACAGGATCGTTTGAAAGTTATCAATGCCTCCAAAATTCATCCTTTTCTTAATCTACTTTGCAACAGATCTAGTGTTCTCAAATCTACTTTTCCATTGCCAACTAAAACTTTGCCACCAGCACAATCCTACCAACGAGCACCTTTTTAAAATTTATGCCCTAAGTGCCTCATATGATTCAACATAATTCTTAGTTTCAGCCATGTGGTTGACTTTAATTCATTATATGGTTTGCTGCTGACAAACTTTTGGGTTGCCTTTTTATACCTTTTAACTCATTTATAGAATTTGTGAGTTAGTCTCATTCTGCCATGTCATATTACATGGCCTTATTCCTTAATACTTAATAGCTAAAAAACAAAAGAAAACAAAAACCAAGCAACCAAAAACAAAATAATATGACAAACAATTCAATTAAAAATGGGTCAAACAACCAGGAGGCAGGCTTGCAGAATGTGCCCTTTGGTTGTTTAACTTATTATATATTCCTGAGTACTTTCGTGTAAACACCCGCCGTCCCCTCCCCCGCAATAAACAGAGGGAATAAAAGCAAATACTGTTGAATGGTGGATGCATGGAGAAGATTGTAATCACTGTAATGAAATGGTAAGTGTAAAACTGATGTTTTCCCATATAAACTATATCACTCAATTCAAAATAAAAACTTCAAACCAAACAAAACTGGCCAAAGACTTTATGAGACTCTTTATAAAAGAAACACAAATATCCAAAAGTCCATGTTGTTGTGGTTGTTAGGTACCACTGAGTCAGTACCGACTCATAGCAACCCTATGCACAACAAAACTTAACACTGCCCGGTCCTGAACCAACCTCACAATTGTTGCTACACCTGAGTCCATTGCTGCTGCTTCTGTGCCAATCCATTTAGTTGGGGGTCATAGTCTTTTTCTCTAATCCTCCACTTTACCAAACATGATATTCTTCTCCAGCGATTGGTCCCTCCTGACAATATGTCTGAAGTATAAGACTAAGTCTGGCCACCCTGGCCTCCAAGGAGCACTCTGGCTGTACTTCTTCCAACACAGATCTGTTTGTTCTTTTTGCAGCCCATGGTACTTTCAATATTCTCCTCCAGCACCATACCTCAAATGCATCGATTCCTCTAAGATCTTCTTTATTCACTGTCCAATTTTCACATGCATATGAGATAACTGAAAATAGTATGGCTTGGGTCAGGCACACCTTAGTCCTCAAACCAATTATCTTTGCTTTTGAACACATTTTTTTTAAAGCTCACTTATTCAAGGGCAAAGCCCTTTCCAGAGCCTAATACACAGGTCCCTGTACTCCTACCCTTAAGGAATTAAGGACCAATCTCTTTCTAATTACATGTCAGGTATTCATGCAAACATAAAAAAAATATTTGCATGCCCTCCAATTGGCTAGAACATAATTAAAAAATTTAAGAACAATTTGAAGATAAACAAGAAAAAAAGTGTGTCTAAAGTGGGGAAAAAGCACAATGGAAGAAATAAAGTTTCCAATAGATTGTCATCCCCTGTAGTCATTGACGTTAGAATATTCTTGTAGGTTAAGAAACTGAAAAGAGAACACTCTTGTCTATGAAATATGACTAAAGAAATTCAAGGTGATGCTTTCATTGGGGTGTATGTGTGTGTCTCACAGAATGCTATTATAATCTTGCTTATTATTTAAGATGTACTGTTACTGTATCAATCTTCACAAATAAAAAAGCTGAACTTACTTGATCTTTTCTTCCACTAATCGTTAAGTTACTTATGGCCCAAGCAGCTTCTTTCTGAGTGCCAAAATCTCCCTGCAAAAGCAAAGCAAATGGTTACAAATGGTAACATATGCGAAACTGGAATAACGATTTTCTGAAATGATTAATCATTTTCCCATGTTTCTTTCTAGTTTTGTTGCTGTCTTTGTTAAATACCATTGATTTTGTTCTGACCCACAGTGACCATGTACAGGGTTTCCCAGGAGAGGTTGGTGGGTTTGAACCTCCAACCTTGGGGTTAGCAGTCCAGTGCTTATCCTATAGGGTCACAACCGGGATATGTATTTTTTACAGAAGTCTCTGAACTATAGCTAGTCTACTCTTTTTTTTTTTTTTTTTTTAAATCTCCTGGAAACCAACTGATTTGCTATTACTGTTGACAAATATAAAAACATATACAATTTCACTATGATCAGGACTTCTGAGTTAAAGTATCCTTTTAAATTTTTCACAAAGATTTCTAACAATTTAACAAATAGCCAGTACGGCACTGTAGACTAAGCATTGGACTGCTAACCTCAAGGTTGATGGTTTTTATCAACTAGCCTCTCACTGGAAACCCTATATATGGCTGCTATGAATCGGAGCTGATTAATCGACTCAAGCGTGGTAACAGTAGTGAGGGTGGCCCAGGATCAGGAAGTGTTTCGTTCTGCTGTGCACAAGGTTGCTATGGGTTGGTACCAACTCGATGGCACCTAACAACAACAAATCGATACTTAACAATAACAAGGTGACTATGATAAAATGTTGCCCAAATACATGTGTACACTGCCGTTCAAATACAAATTGGCAAAATATATCTTAAAATGTGACTTACATTGGACTGCGAACCACAAGGTTAGTGGTTCAAACTCACTAGTTTCTCCTATATATAGGGTAGCTATGAGTCGGAACCGAGTTGATGGCAATTAATAATAATATGTATGTCTTTCAGCTTATTTAGTGAACACAGTGGCTCTGTAGGATAAGCATGGAAACATGAACCACAAGGTCATTTGTTTGAACCCACTACCTGTTCCCCTTAGATTTGCTCCTGCACAGATTTAAAGCCTGGAAAATCCTATAAAGGATCACTATGAGTTGGAACTGACTTGATGGTACTTAACGACAACTACATATCAAGGGGCTTCAAAAAGTTTGTGGAAAAATGGAATTAAAAGATAATGAAATAATAATAATAAAAAAAGATAATTATTATCTTTTTAAAAAAAATTCCATTTTTCCACAAACTTTTTGATGCCCCCTTATATGGCCATGTTGCTGTTGTTAAGTGCTGTCTACTCAGTTACAACTCAGTGACCCTGCATAGAGTTTCCAAGGAGTAATCTTGTCATTATCAGTCCATTACTTATCCTACAGTGCTACACCAGAACTCCTGTCCCAGCAGTACCATAACAGCCAAATAGGAAAAGCAACTAAGAGTCTTAATAGAGGCATAGTTGACTAAATGCAGCAATGAGATAGTAATCAGCTATTATATATTAGGAGGCCTTGAGTGGCTTGACTAGTAACCAAAAGATTGACAATGTGAACCCAGAGGCAACTTAGATGATAGGCCTAGAGAACTGCTTCTGAAAAATCAAAGCCTTGAAAACACTATGGAGCATTTCTACTATGCATATATGGGGTTTTGCTTTGAGTTGTAATTCACTTGGCAGCAACTAACAACAACAAATTGAGTATTAAGAAGACTGTTATAGTTGTTATAATTGCTGTTAAGTCAGTTCTGATGCACAGCCAGTACCCTGTACAGGCTTTCTGAGACTGTAAATCTTTGTGTGGGAGCAGAAAATCTAATCTTTCTCCTTCTGAGTGCTTGATGGGCTTACAGTCCAGTCCTTATCCTACAGAGTCACTGCATTCCCATTAACGATGTTGTTGTTTAAGTTATGGAAAAACGTTTATGATGTCAAATGCAAAAACAAAGTATGCAAAATAAGAGAAATGCAAAATTAAAGTTGCATTGGGCTATCCTTTCTTATTTATGTTGTTGTTGGTTAAGTGACACTGAGTCAGTTCTGACTCATAGGGCTTCCGAAGAGCACCTGGTAGGTTTGAACCACCGACATGTGGTCCAGTGCTTTAACCTGCAGGGCCACACCAGGCTTCTGTAAGACTTTTAAAATCCAAATATTTGTCAGTGCGGTTGTAGGAGTGAAAAAGGGTACAACTTCAAAGAGGGAATTGGTATTACATAGCAAAAGTTTTATATGTTTATCCTTTGATGCAGTAACCCCAAATGTTAAGTGTCATTGAGTCGATTCCGACCCACAGTGACCCTGGTTTAGGGTTTCCAAGGAGTGGCTGGTTAAGCTTGATTTTGCAGTTCAAACGACTCTACAGTCCAGCACATTAACCTGTAGCACCACAAATAAACCCTACTTATAAGCTACTCTTCAAAGTACTAATTGATAGCAAAGCACAGGAAATATCCTAAATTTCATGAAACAGAGTGTCATGTAGCTACAATAAAAGGAATAAAGAAACTACATATGATAGCGACTTCAGGAAACAGTTTTCCTTTGTTGTTTTTGTTATACATCTACTTATATTTCAAAAAGACTCAATGGGAGGATAAAAATGAATAAAAATTACTATCTGTAAAAGAAGGCAGAGACTAGTAAGGTAAGGATAGAAATGGAATTCAGACCTTGAAAGGCATACATTTTTGACTTGGGAACAGTATATGTGCGCTATATAATTTTTTTTAATAAAATAAAAAGTTATTCCAGAAAATAAAAAACAAAAAATCCACTTGTACATCAAGTTAGTGACTTACCACACATAATTATTTCAAGTGATATAATTTATTTTCAAGCAGATCAGTGGTAAAATATACTCTAAAAACAAAAAGAACTTCAAGGAAATCTTAAAACTGGATTCAGTAGTGATGTATTAGTAGCAATGTTGGTCTTGTTATTTTGATATATCTTATATATGTGTATATGCTGCTATGTGTCATCGAGTCAGTTCTGACTCACAGCAACCCAAAGGTATAAATCTTTAGGGGAGCAAAAAGCCTTATCTTTCTTTGGGGGATCGACTGGTGGATTCTAACTGCCAACCTGGCAGTTAGCAGCCTAGCACGTAATCCACTACACTACCAGGGACCCTTATATGTGTATATGGCTGAGGTGGATGTGAGCCATGGAGTCAGTTCTGGCTCACAGCAACCATGTATAAGGTTCCCTAGGATATACATTTTTATAGGAGCAGAAAGCCTCATCTTTCTCTCAGAGTGGCTGGTAGATTCAAACTGCTAATCTAACACACACATACAGATCAAAGTGTATAATGTATATACGCTGTTGTTAAGTGCTGTTGAGTCGGTTCTGACTCAGTGACCCTGCATACGGTTTCAGAGGAGCGACTGGTGAGTTTGAACTGCCGACCTGTGGTCCAGTGTTTTTTTTCCTACAGTGCCACAGTAGAACTATGTGTATATGTTGTTGTTGTAAGTGCCATCAAGTTGGTTCCGGCATAGAGATCCTATATAGGGTTTTCGAAGAGCAGCTAGTGAGTTTGAGCTATAGACCTTGCGGTTCAAACCGACCTAGTGGTCCAATGCTTTATCCCGCAGTGTCACACCAGGACTCCATGTTGAATGAATGAATATGTATATATATATATCTCATAAAACAAGTAAAGTATTTTTTGCATTTTTTTCAGCACAAGAGAAATGAAAATGTACAGCTTAGGAAGTGAAATTAAAAACCTGTTACACTAGCAGTGGCAACTATAAAAGGTTACTTTGGTCAGGGGCAAGGAATGACAAGAAGAGTAATAATGACTTTTCAGATAACATAAAAATCCATAGTTCCTTAATGGTACAATACAATATCCACTCTGGTGACATATCATGGTTGCGATGAAACCATGTAATTCTAAAAAATAATAACAACAACAAAAAAGATCAAGCATTTTCCCTGCCTTTCTTAAATAAGAAAAGCTGATTATTAAAGAATCCTGGCTATATATAAAGAATGACAGAATTAGAAATCCATCATTTAGCAATTCCTAATGAAACAATGAAAATTCTTGTGTGATGCTATAGGATAAACACTGGACCACGAAACTGGTTTGAACCGCAAGGTCAGCAGTTCAAACCCACCAGAAAAACTCCTCGGAAACCCAATGTAGTGTTGCTATGGTTTGGAATTGACTCAATGGCACTTAACAACTAAGAAATAACAGATCCAGGCAATGATCATCAATGGTTGCTTAAAAACCACTAGATGAAAGACTGATAGATACAATCAGCTTGGTAACACCTCGTTGGTAACACCTAAGCCCACTCACCAATCTTCATCACTAGACATAGAACACACAGTATGTGCCTCCTGACATGAATTATTAGGAAGTATGTAGGATAAGAACTTGACCACTAGCCATGAAGGTGGCAGTTCAAACTCACCAGCCGCTAATCATAAACCCTATACAAGGTCATTATGAGTCAGAGGTGACTCTATGGCACTAAACAACAGAGCAGTGCACAAGGTATTTTTAAGTAAAACACCAAAGCTAATCTAACAGTTTATAGGAAATTAGCTTGCATTAGCAGTTTATAGAGAATCCTGGTGTGGTGCTATAGGATAAGCACTGGACTGCTAACTACGAGGTTGGTGGCTCAAACCCACCACCTGCTCAAATACAGGGTTCACTGTGAATCGAACTAACTCGACAGCACCTAACAACAGCATCAGTTTTTAGAAGGAACCCTGGTGGTGCAGTGGATTCAGCAATGACTGCAAACCACAAAGTTGGTGATTCAAACCTACCAGCTGCACTGTGGGAGACATATGAAGCTTTCTACTCCCGCAAAGGTTTATAGCTTCAGAAATCGTACATCGCAGTTATACTCTGCTCTACAGGGTCACTATCAATTGGAATTGACTTGTTTGCAGTGGTTTTTTAAAAATCAGTTTATAAGAAACAGGAATACAAGATATATAGAGTTATTTCAGAAAAAATTCTCATACTCTGATCGCAACATTAATGCCTGGCCTATTTCCCAAGTATTAGTAAGAGTCTGAGAGCTGATATAAACCCATTGCCTTTGAGTCAATTCCAACTCATAGGGACCCTACAGGATAGTATAGAACTGCTTTCTAGGGTTTCTGAGGCTGTAAATCTTTTTATAAAAGACACTGCCTTGTCTTTTTCCTGAGAAGTAGTTGGAGGGTTCAAACGGCTGATCTTTCAGTTATTGGCCCAATGCAATGCTTATTCCACAGTCTCATCATGACTCCTTGAGAGCTGATATTCTTGACTCAGAGTAGTAGAACTGCTCCTTAGGGTTTCCAAAACTGTAAATCTTTATGGGAGGGCATTGCCTCATCTTTACCCACACTGAGCGACTGGTGGCTTTGAACCACTGACCTAGTGGTTAGTAGCACAATGCCTAACTCACAGTGCCACCAGGGCTGCTCGAGAGACAGTATGTGGTTGCTGTTAAATGGCATCGAGTTGGTTCCAACTCATATCAAGCCTGTATAGGGTTTCTGAGGAGCAGCTGGTAAGATTGAATCCCCAACTCTGCAGTTAGCAGGCTAGTGCTTATCCTATAGTGCTACTCAGGACTCCAAAGAGAAGATATGTTGCTATAGTTGTTAAGTGCCATAGTCAGTTCCAGCCCAAAGAGACTTAGTACAGGGTTTCCAAGAAGTGACTGATGATTTTATTTTAGACCACCACCCTTATGGTTCAAAATGACTTTGTGGTCTTGCACTTATTCTACGGTGCCATACCAGAACTGAAAAAAGACACAGAATATACTTAATAGTATATTTACTTAGTTGGTTTGACATCTTGAGCAATTTACCTGATCTTGTGGGTTAATGCACCAGACTGCACAGCCATGTGAACTTTGGCAGTTCAAACTCACCAGCTGCTCCTTGGAAACCCTACAGGGTCGCTATGGGTCAGAACTGACTCAATTGCACTTCACAACAACAACAAATATCACTGGTGGTACTATAAGGTTAGCACTGGACTGCTACAAGGTTGGTGGTTCAAACACACCAGCTGCTACTCGGAAACCCTTTACAGGATCACTATGTATCGGAACTGACTTGACGGCATTTAACAACAACCTCACAGGGTTACAGTATTTACTAAAGCGCTCAAAACACTAAATATACATTTCTTATTAGTAGTAATGGACTACTGGTGTGGCACTGCAGGATTAGCACCAGACTGTGAACCACAAGGTCAGAAGTTCAAACAGCTGTTCCTTGGAAATCCTACAAAGGGTCAGTATGAGTCAGAACCAACTCAATGGCACTTAACAAACATTAGTAGTAATAATATTGATTTTTTAATAAAACTCAAGAGTGTCAATTTTAGAACTATTTACAGAAGAAGGGCCAGGGGTTTCCATAATAAAATTCTTGTATGTAAAGCAATATTGGATTCAAAATTTTAATACTTTACAGAGACAGTGTTTGTACAATTCTACAGTTCTTTGTGGTGGTTATGTACCGTGGAGTCGGTTCCGACTTACAGATACAGTGTATAGGGTTTCCGAGGCTTTAACTTTTAAAGGCGCAAAAAGCCTCATCTGTCTCCCGTGGAACCACTGGTAGTTCCAAACTGCTGACCTTGAGATTAACAGCTCAACTTGTAACCACTAAGGATAAACCGAAAAGTATATACTCACCTCATTTGTTAGATTTAAGTCCCTACCCCTAATGTAGTAGACACACGAGATGACTTCTTACCTTATCCAAGAGGTGTATTATCATTGGTACGAGGTTGGCATCAATTACTGCCTGAACCTGTTGCTGATTTCCAGCGGTGATGTTAGACAGGAACCACACTGCTTCCTGTGGAACAAGATTTTTTCAATATACCTCATTAAAAAATAAAATCTGCATATGAGCCAAGAGGAAATTCATTGACTATATCATTCAAATAGTTTTATTATAAAGTCAGTTTCATAATTAAAAGTTTAGGAATCTCAATTCCTCTATCTCATTCCCTCTTTTTTGAAAAAGATAAATTTATGATAAACTACAGAATTATATGAAGTATTCTTCAAAGCAATGTTCTTAAACATTGCCTATCACTCAAAAGAAGTCTGGCTGAACAAATACTAAGGAATTAATGCAGAATTGCTAAATGCAAGTCTTTTACAAGACTGCTTGCTGTAAATGGGAAATATTCCTTCCTACCATAATGTGCTTTATTGCTATTTTATTCTGATCAACAGTCCTAGCCAATTGGCTAGCCAAAATGGGGTGGGTGGGCCTACAAAGGCAAGAAGTGACTGGCTTACATGCTTTCAAGAGGGAATCTAGATCCAGAAGGCATGAAGGAAGGTAGAATCTCCACTGAGTACTATCCAGTCTGTCTAGACGGGGCTGATGAAATGAAATGCGGATGGGTCTCTTGTGTTACAATAGTGAATAACTGTTATCAGGACTGATTGTGAGGGTTGGAAATGTAAAGGTAGACATTTTGTAGCAAGGAGGGGAGTGATTAACTTTTCAGTCTAGGAGCGGAGTTCCCTAGGACCATCAAGGGAGAAGAGCGGAGAGCAGGACCCTACCCAGAGAAGCAGTGACTATGATGTGGAGAGATGGAGCAGCTAGGGACTTTAGATCCAGAGAGGGAGATGGGCTGTGTGTTGACGACCGGGGAGCAAGCTTGTAGTATATACTCTTTGGTTGGTTGATGATGCATGGAGGGGATTGTAACCATGGCAATAAAATGATGTATGATAGAATGAATGCAAAACTAATATTTTCCCATGTAAACTATGACATAATTCACAATAAAACATTAAAAAAAAAATCCTAGCCAAAGCCCTATCTCACTCTGTTATTCATGAACAGGAGATATGAAAAATGAAATAGTGGGTTATTTCAGTATACTCTTTAATAATCTTTTATGCTACATCTTTTCTTCTAGAACTAAAGTTAAATCAATGTTGTGATTGCTTGAATGATCTACTTTAATGATCTCTTTATGTTACTTCCCTTTATGTAACAATGGTGTCACTTTTGCCAATACAGTGAGTGGTCTGATCCCATGTGTTTATAACTTTGATAGATAATAAATGCAAACTGAAACCACAGTTTCAGTGGAAATATTTACCCAGTAGCTAATGCATAATATTATAATTTACTAAATTTGTTAAATTTATTGATCAATACAGGGACATCATAGTTTCTGTATTTAACCTAGTAATCAAGTTTTATTCCAAAAAATATTAATATTAGCTAATGTACACAATAGGCTCTTTTGGATCAGATCACAGGACCATTTTTAATGAACCTGTTAGAGATTTTAGGGTGCTAGGCTAGGCAGGTGAGCTATTCTTGGGTTGTAATCATCGGCAATGTTGTAATCAGCACCCATATATTTCTACAACAGCCTCAGATGCACTCCAATATCAGCATCACCAGTCAGCGCCCCCTTTCTATAGCCTCTTAGTGCACGCATACACACACACACACACACACACACAAATATTACACAAAATTTTACATTTAGACTATAAACTAGTTAAAACACTCATTTAAAAAGGTTCACTCATACAACATTCAACACCCAATTATCTCTGTTTCATCATTTCCAAGAGAGCCAAATTAGTACTTTACTACTGGATTGCCTTATATATGGAAAATCATACATTATAATCCATGTTACAGTGAGATATTTTACAGTCCACGTAAGTTTTAATGACAGCTTATAGTTTCAGTATTATGAATAGTTCTCAGATCCTAATTTTACAAATGAAAATTGCTGATACTTTATGTGCTATTTGTTAAATTTCATTACTTACTTTATTAATTTTCTCTTTGGAATGCGTCAGAAGTGCTGGGAAGTGTGAAAGAGCATCACAATTCAAAACAACTTGTGTTTGCTCATCAGTTCCAGTAACAATGTTGCCTACTGCTCGAAGTGCAGCAGTCTGAAATATAAAATGATTTAATGAGATGTTGTTCCATGTGAAGTACTCAATTGTCACAAAGACAGAGGTTATGAATGCTCCATTCATTCATTTAGCTATCTCATCCTTTTTGAGCATTCAACTTTGTGATAAGCACTGCTCTGGACACAAAGGTGAATAGGGCAGACTTAAGTTATTTTCAACCTTTACTCAGCTTATACAGTCATTTGGCAAACACAACAAACAAATGAGAAAGATACTTTTAGATAAGCAATTAGATTTTAAACATAGAGAGTGGTGGTAAAGGTTGCACAATATGGGGAATGTTAAGAAGGCCTGTCACTGCACATGTTAAATTCAAACATGTACTTTGTAAACAAAATTGCTTTCCCATCTTAAAAAAATTCATCCATTTAAAGAATACAATTCAATGTTTTATAGTATATTAAGTTATGTTACTATTCTAAATATCTAATCCCCAAACATTTTCATCCCAGCAAAAAGAAATTCTGTAACCACTGGCAGTCACATGTATTAATACTTAATTCTTTTATTGCTGAACACTGTATAGATGTATCTATTTATCAACTGATAAACATCTGAGTTGTTTCCACTCTTTGGCTATTATGAGTAACCATTGCTAAAACATTTATGCAAACTTTTGTATCAACCCATGTTTTCACATGTAGAACTGGTAAGTCACATGACAACTTTTTTAGTTTGAGGAAATATTCCAAAGCAGTTGGACCATTTTACATTTCCATCAGTACTATATGAGAATTCCAGTTTCTCTGCATCCTTACCAGCAATTGTCATGTGCATAAAATTTATTTTTTTTTTAAATCATGGTCATTCTAGTGAGTGTAGTACAGAATGGTATCTCACTGTGGTTTTGCTTTATATTCCCTGCTGTTGGATAAGCACTGGACTGCTAGCTGCAAGGCTGTTCAAATTCACCAACCGCTCCTTGGAAACGCTATTCAGGGTCGGCTGTCAGAACAAACTCGACAGTAATTAACAATAGAAACAGCTATTGAGGAGCCATGGTGGCACATTGGCTAAGCATCTAGCTGCTAACTAAATAGTGGTTCAAACCTACCACCTCCTCCATGGGAGGATAGCTTTAGGATAGCTGAGATGGAATCAACTAAACAGCAATGGGTTAATCATTAATGAAGCTAAGCACTTCTTCACATGCTTCCTGGCTAATTGTATGTCTTCTTTGGAGAACTGTCTATTTAAAATCTTTGGCCAATTTTAAATTGGGTTGTTCATTATTGTTCAGCTGAAAAAATTTTAATAGATAATATTCTAAAAGCAAGTCACTTTTCAGGTATATGTTTTGCAAATATTTTCTTGTATTCTGTACGTTGTCTTTTCATTTTTAAAATGGTGCTCTAATTAAGCATAAGAGTTTGTCATTTTAATGAAATTCAAGTTATCCATGTTTTCTTTTATTATTGCTAACTGAAAGGTTGGTGATTCACATCTACTGGTTGTTCCTCAAGAGACAGACGAAGCAGTGTGCTTCCTGAAAGATTTATTGCTTCACTCTCTCACTGTTGCCATCTAGTTGCACAGAGGCAGAGGCCTGAATGTGTTCAAGATTCAGCTCTACCCGTAAACCACCACCATGGCCAAGGAAAGCATTGCTGCTGAAAGTGTAATGGACGTTAATACTGCTATATACGAGATGCTCAAGATGCCCTCATCCATGCTAGCCTAGCATGTGGAATTTGCGAAGCTGCCAAAGCCTCAGACAAGCATCAAGCCCATCTTTGTGTGCTTGCATCCAACTGTGATGAGTCTATGTATGTAAAGTTTGTAGAGGTCATTTATGTGCTGAACACCAAATTAACCTGATTAAGGCTGATGGCACCAAGACGTCAGGGGGATGGGGTAAGCCTCTGCGTAACTGACAGAGAGGGAAAACCTTGCAAAGTGGTTGACTGCTGTTGTTAATAGCTACAGCAAAGACTCTTAGGCCAAGAATGTCATCAAAGAATATTTCAAAAGCAAGAAATGAGACAATAAAATACTTAGTTCTCAAAAAAAAAATTTTATGGGGGCAGGTCTACTCTGTCCTACAGTCACTAAGAGTTAAATCAATTTCACAGCAAGTTTGGTGTCTTCAACTAAATCACTGCTTAGTTGAAGGTTATGAAGGTCTATGCCCGTTTTCTTTCATGACTTTAACCTAGTTTTAGCTCTTATATGTGGGAGTATGATTCGCTTCTGAGTTAATTTTTTTAGTGTGACATAAGGTAGAGATCCAATTTCATTGTTTTGCATGTGGTATTCAGTTGTTCCAAAACCATTTGTTCAAAAGACTATTCTTGCCCCACTGAATTGTCTTGACACCCTTGTTGAAAATCGACCATAGATATGAATTTATTTCTGAACTCTTGATTATACTCCATTGATCATGATGTCTAACCTTTCGTCAGTACCACAATCTTATTTATGGTTTGTTGTTAAGTGCTGTCGAGTCAGTTCTGACCCACAGTGGCACAGTATAGGGTTTCCAAGGAGTGGCTGGTGAGCTTGACTTGCTGATCTTGCAGTCAAACTACTTTCACAGTCCAGTCCGCATTAACCCACAGCACCCATAACAACATATCAAGTTTAGTTATATAGTAAATTTTGAAATAAGGTAGCAAGTCCTTTAACTTTGTTCTTTTTGAAGAGTGTCCTGGTATGGCACCGTGGGTTAACGTGCCAGACTACAAAGCCGTTTGAAGTGCAAGGTCGGTGGTTCAAGCTCACCAGCTGCTCCTTGGAAACCCTATACAGGGTGTCACTATGGGTCGGAATCAACTCGATGGCACTTTATAACAACAACATAGATCAAATTAGATAAAATGTTGTATCTGAAATTTGTGTCAAAGTATTTTTTGGGTACAGAGAATATATACAGAAGGCTCATTATTGTTCCTACATTTCTGAATTCTGGTGTGAAAGCTGAAGTTAAAAAAAAAAAAATCTCTATTAGTTATCAGGTAAAATACAGAACATTCACTTTCCTTGAAAACTGGCTAAACAAAATTCCCAGGCCCTATTTTTTGAATGAAGTCCAGTATTAAAACTGAAGATGCATTCTGAAAACACAAACTGAAAATCTACACCAAAATATAAGAAATGAAACTTAAGAAATACAAAGAATAAACATCTAGTAAGAATGTCAATTAATTAAAAAATACTCTCAAATAGTATAAACAGTATATTCTAATAATCAATTCTTTCTAAATTTAGTTAAGTTTTCCCTCTTTAAAGTGCTTTAGAGGGAATGCGTCTCAGTTCTGGTCATCACCATTTGAAGAGTTTTTAAGAGCTAAGGATACAGTAAAGATTTTAAGAACTGAGGATACAGTAAACATCCTAGGTATATTGAAACAGACATTCTGGATGCTGAGCTAAGGAATCAGCCTTATTTAAAAGGCTCCAAAGTTGATTTTGATGCCCAGTCAGGGTTGAGAACCAGCAAGTATATGGATTCCAAGTCATGATTAGAGTAAAACATAACATCACCTCAAAAGGATAGACAGAGTCTTCCCTTTACCACCACATTCTGTAAGTTGTCTTTTGATTTTTAAAATGGTGCTCTTATTAAGCACAAGAGTTTGCCATTTTGATGAAGTTCAAGCTTCCATTATGTGGCACTAGGCTACTAACTGGAAGGCTGGTGATGCTTATACTGCTTATATTTGGGTGAACTTCTCATCCTATCTTTTAGGGTTTCTCTAGATGATGTTCTTTGGAGTACATAAAAATTTAAATGCTTGAAATAATTTAGCAGTACATTTCAGACAAGGTGCACAATCTTTATCTTGTTGTTGCTATTAGGTGCTGTCAAGTCGGTACTGACCCATAGCGACCTTCTGCACAGCAGAACGAAACACTGCCTGATCCTGGGCCAACCTCACTAATGTTGCCATGCTTGAGTCCACTGATGCTGCCTCTTGGCCGATCCATCTCTTTGGGAGTCTTCCTCTTTTTCTCTGACCCTCCACCTTACCAAACATGATATCCTTTTCCAGTGACTGTTCCCTCCTGACAATATGTCTGAATTATGAGAGACGAAGTTTGGCCATCTTGGCCTCCAAGGAGCACTCTGGCTGCACTTCTTCCAAAATGGATCTATTGGTTCTTTTGGCAGCCCATGGC